CATTGGATCTTCAGTTTAGCTGCATGTTGTTCACAGTGTGAAAGCACGTTCTTCGAGCTGTACGCTGCCTTATTTCTGTGGGATTTTGAACTTTTATAGTGACTGCAGAGGATGTTGGAAAGGTTTCCTGAAAGTTTCTCGTAACTTCTCTCATGACAGACAGAAACACTCAGTCCGCCCAGGTCGGGTCTCTGCTAGCTGTAAATAGGAAAGTTCATATTTTCTATCAATGATGTGCAATTCTCATGAAGGGACAGTTCCTGCAGTCTTTTTTTGTTTTTGATCAGTTTGAAGCAAAACGAGGTTTGAAATGTTTTTGATCTTGTGAACGTCAGAGAAGTCCAGAGGTACACAAGGTTTGATGTTTTAATTATTCTCTCCTTAAAATTATTTTTGGTCTAATTGAGGGTTTATTCAGGGCTGAACAAAGAGTCTAATATAATCACTCACAAACGAAACCAGCTGTACCTCAAATTTGTCCAACACCTAAAACCCCCCCCACAAAAAAACATTTTAAACTGTAAATGTTTTTGTCCAGGTGTGTGTTTGTATCATCAGCGCTTGTTTTTGTTGATCCATGTCGGGGGCAGTCGCCTCCTCATAACTGATTCTGTTAAAATCCAGCATAGATGTTGCTAGCTAAAACAAAACAGGCGCATCTCGGTGCTGGTTTACTAGACAGCGAGAAGGAATGTGCGCACACACAAAGAGGGCCTGAAATTAATAGCTGGCCGCAAGTCAAACACAAGCGCTAAATCAGAAGATATTTTTTTGTAATTTTTTGTTTATTTGAACCAAATCCAAAAAACTTTGAAAAACAGTATTTTGAGATCTGGGAAGATGTGTTTTCAGATTGGGTTGTTGGTTGGCTTAAAAAAAAAAAAAAAGTTTCAGAGCCCAAAAAACAGAGTTTAATATCATGCGGCTTCATGATGAACAAGTTTACAGCTCACTGATGTTTTATTTATGTCATGTTACAACCTTGAAACCGTGACCTGTGTATCATTTCTTTTGATATGCTGCTCTGGATCGTTCACCTGGAATTAAACTGATGTCTTTTAAACTACTTTGGCTCCTTTTGGTTTTTCACGGTGGTTTGTGTGGTTTTACTTTATTTTAGCATTACATGTACATCCAACAGCGGTAACAACAACAAAGGCAGGAATTTCTAAATATTCTGAACATTATCAGACATGAAACATGAGTCTTTTTAAGTTTTTGCTTTTGCTGTCTCACAAGTGGGCGCTGCAGGTGCACCGGTGTGAGACATGCTGCCTCTCAGTAGTGACATCTTGTGGCAGCACATTGTTTTGGCAATTGGCATTTTTTTTTCGGAGCTGTGATCACAGAAAACAAGTCTGACGCTAAGCTTTGAAACATGAATATTTCATCCATAACTGAACCTACTCAGTCACTCCTGAGTAGGTTCACCGCTTTTGCACATGGTCTCCATTTGTGTGTGATAACTTTCAACTTATGAGCCACACTTTGCTCATAACCTACCAGGGGTGTTTTCACACTTTCTGAAGCAGCAATTAAGCCATGAAACCATTTTATATCATATTTCATGATTAAAACAATCAGCCAAGGTATACACGAACCCTATATTTGAATTAAAACCATTTAATGTTAAAAATCCCCAATAACAGCTAAAAAAAAATATCCAAGCACCAAACTTTCTCCTTGGTCCCTCCCAGAACGTTTAAGAAGCATTAAAGTTCCTAGATACACATGAATACCCCGGAGAGATAAAGGACAGTGACTGCTACTCCACAAATATATTATTTACACTTTTTGTAGCCACATCATAGTAAATTACATTCATGGACAATATTTACATTAGCTAATACAATAATGCTAACTCTAAACGAAACACCTCTGTCAGTACAACAACCAACATCTGGCATCATCAATGATTTTTTTCAAAACTTGCTAATACTGAGAAATCATATCAGAAGTATATTATTAAGCCTCAGCAGACATCACACACTAGTCACTGTTTATGCTGCACCACTAGAGGGCGCTGCAGCTGCACCAATCTGCGGGTCACTGCTTCTCAGCTGTAGAATGACGTCCTGTGGGAGTCCATTTTTCACCAGTGCTGATTTAATCTATGGATTAAAAAAAGGAAGACCGAGTTAGTCACTTTCTCTGC